TTGGTTTGAGCTGAGATCTTACTTTACTCCCATAGAAAGAGTTCATTTACTCTTCTGCATTTTCTGGTATAATTGAATCCGTAGAACTTCTCAGATTTTTGTCTGCCTTTTACTTAGATAAACAAGTTTACTTCTTATTAGGTGCAGTGAAGCATGCCCCCCCTCCCCCATGTAGCATGAGGGTGTTGTGTGCCTCAAAGGGAAGCAGAATAGGCACATCTAGCTTCTTCTTCCCCCACTCTCTTTAGTTTGGGGATTTGGCTGAACTTAATTAGTTCTTTTTTATGTCTCCCTTTTATCCAGTTCTTTAACTCTTGCCCTCTTTTTTTTCTCTTAAGTATTCAAGTGAAATCTGTTTTCTCATTTTGTTCATTAGTTGAAAATTTTTTCATTTCCTCTGCCTTTTTCTAAAAATGATTTTTCTTTCATTCTCTTCCTAATTTACCTCCCTTTCTGTCTATTCTAGGTTTTTTTATTCTTTGATTCATGGGCCTTACATTCATTTAGTTCTTCTTTAGTCTCTGTGTTGCTAGTAGGATGAAAGCTTTTGAAGTTTTGGGTTCTTCTATGTAGCTTCTATGTTAGTGAGATATATTGTGTAGTGCTTAGAACAGCTCGTGGCACACAATAAACACTCTAAATATTTATTCCTTTCCCCTGCCCTTTTTGCCTCAGGGATCTTGCCTCTAGTCCCCTTTTCCCCTTGCACCTCACTCTTAGAAATAACAGTTCCTGCACATGATACAGAAGCTACTGCCCCAAGCTAGGAATTTCCCTCTGTTACTGATTGTGCAATTCCTCATTTAACTTTGCCCTTCCCAGAGTCATTTTTCCCATTTGTCATGCAATGTTCTGCCTGAGTCCATGCTCTTCTATTCTTCATGGTATCAGTTGCCATTCACCTTTTCCTGGGGTAGGATAAGTAGTCTTTCTCCACACCAGATCCCTACAGATTATACCCACTATAATGTCTTCATCTCCATTTATAGAGTCTTTCTCTTCCCACATGGATCATCACAGTGGCACTCTGTGAGAGCGGTACCCTTTTCCACTGCTGAAACAAGATTTCCTCTTTTCCCCCCCTTGTTTCACTCCCTCCTTTTGCTCTCTAGTTCATTCTTCCATGGGCTCTCTTCTCCCTAAAAGATGATGAGGAGTTACTTTCCCTTCATCACTAACCTTTGACTTCATCAGCATATATGACATATTTCAGTCAATTCTCTTCCTCTCCTTTCACCGTGTGTGTGTGTGTGTGTGTGTGTGTGTGTCTGTGTGTGTGCGCGCGCTCGTGTCCTCCCTTTCTCTAATTTAGTTCTACAGAAAACAGTGGTTCACCTGCAGGCAGTGTATTGTGAGGTTTAGCTCCTGGGGTTTCACCCCTTACTCCACCATGTTATCTATCGGCTTTCTGCTTTCATATTTGTATCCTTAGGAATTTTCAAAGAGAAATCCCTTCATGGTCTCTATTGTTATTTTGTTGTTCTTGGTTGATATATTTGTTTACTCTTTTTGTATTTTGAGATGATTTGAGTTTCTTTCTAGAAATGTTACAAACGTCCATTTAAAAAAATATGATTAGACTTAGGTTTGCAGTGTAGGTCACCTTAGGTTCTTCGGAACACATTATTCTATTTCCTCCTAAGGTTTTTAGTGGGTGCAGAATAGTTTTGTGTTATTTGAACTTCCTTTCCTTTGTATCTGAAGGTGTTTCTCCTGGTTACTTGAAGGATTTGTTGTTTGCTGTTGCAACTGTTAAATTTAACTACTGTGTGTCTTGTCCTTTGCAGTATAGGTTGTTTGCTTGTTTTCCTGGAGATCTGTAGATTGTTGATCGGCACTTTGTTACCAGAGCTCCTCCTAGATCCCCAGGTTGAAGAGGACACCCTGGGAATTCATCTTATCATCTCCTATCCTATCCTATCACCCTTTCATCTCCTATCCTATCATCATGGCTATTTTCCTACATTTTTCACTGCTTCCTTGGACTTCATGAGCAAGACAAAATCAACTCAGAAACTCTCACTTCCTCATCATTTCTCATCCTGGATGCAGCACTTAATTCTTCTCCCCCCCCCAGTGCTTCCCCTCTCTTTAACCATTCATTACTCCTCTTTTCAGATTCTTTTTATGGGTTGTCTTCCCCCATTAGATTGTGAGCTTCTCGAGGGCATGGATTGTCTTATATTTTTCTTTATATTCCCAGGGCGTAGCACAGTGCCTGGCATATGGTAGGCACTTAATATAATATTTATTGATACTTTGTTTTCTGTGTTCAGAAGTTATCCAAAGTTTTATTGTATTATTTCTTGCATTATGGTGTTCATTTTTTTTGACTGCCATGTTCTTCTGAGAGACCCAGAATCCTTAAATTATCTTTACATATTGTCTTCAAGATCAAAATGTTTTGAGCAGCTCTTTTTGTGGTGGCAAAGAATTGGAAATTGAGAGAATGCCCATCAATTGGGGAATGGCTGAGCAAGTTGTGGTATATGAATGTAATAGAATACCATTGTGCTATAAGAAATGATGAACAGGCTGACTTCAGAAAAACCTGGAAAGACTTGTATGGTCTGATGCTGAGTGAAGTGAGCAGAACCAAGAGGACTTTGTACACAGTAACAGCCACGTTATACAATGACTAATATTGTTAAACTGAACCCTTCTCAGCATTATGAGGATCTAAGACATCTCCAGAGGCCTCAGGATGGAAAATGCTGTCCACATCCAAAGAAAGAACTATGGAAGTCGAATCGCTATCACTTATTTTTACCATCTGTTGAGTTTTGTTTCATCTTTCTGATGGTTCCTCCTATTGGTTTTAATTTTTACTTACAACTTCACTAATGTGAAAATATGTTTAATGGGTGTGTAGATGTAAAGCCTATATCAGATTGTGTGCTGTCTTGGGGGGGTGGGGGGGAGGAAGGGGGAGAAAAATTTTCAACTCAAAAGCATATGGAAGTGATTGTTGATAAATCAAAATAAATCAATAAAAATTTTTAAAAAGATCAAGGTTTTGCTTTTATAGAGATTACGTTTTCTTTTAACATACTGATTTTTTTTTGCTTTTCTTCTCTCCAGATTATCTTTCATTTTTGTGTGTTTACATTCCCAGTTATTTTCTCTTTTCCTTCTTTGTTGAGACTCGCCACCATGGATTCAAGTTTTCTATTGTGCCAATTATTTCTGCTGGGCAGGGCATAAAGTGTGCTTTAACCATTCTTATTTCTCTTTTGGAAACATCTTGCTGTGGTTCCGTGTTCTCTTGGGAATGCTTATTCCCAATTACAATTCCTGTGCCTCATCAGGTATTAATTAATTTTCCTATGTCTTGAAATATTCACAGATACCTGGACTCTTTTGGCTGATCTGGAAACCATATTCCAATATCTTCCTTTTTGGTTTCTTTGCTTACACTCAGGTTTTCTCCTTCCTGAGATCTTCGGTAATCTAAATACTATGTCACTCTTTCAGTGTGGCTTCCTTGGACTTCAAAGTCTTCTCAGCCACACCAGGCAATTCACGTGAATCAAGTGTCAATTTCTATGCCCAAGTGACTTCTGAGCAGACAGAAAGGGTCCCAGGTGATGTCATGTTCTTTCCCTCAGTTACATACCCATGTCCTGTCCCAGGTCCCTCTCTTCCTCAGTTCTCTGACTGAGCTCTGTGACGGGATAGTGTTGTCATTTTGCTCTCCTGACTAAGGCGAGCTTCTGTACTTTGGTTTTCTCTGGTCCTCTGAGGGGGAGTAGTAGAATTGTGTTTTATTGAAGATCTGTTAAGTGGGCTTCTGCAGTTCTGTAGGCATAGTGAGCTGTGGCTGTGGGAGGAAGGTATGACAGTATTGAGTGAGTTAGGGTTTGGGGATAAGCTTTTTCTGCTGATCTATAACTTCACTAGGATTCTTGGTGTCTTAGACCTTGGAAACAGCTGAAATTGCTTTATCTCTTGTGCACAATTCCTATTTTGGAGATGTTTGAGAGATCAGGAAGATCAGAGAAAACATCTAGTCTGCCGTCTTCTTCAGAGATATCTTTCATTGCCACTTGCCGGCCAAATCTATATATTTAAACAGCCTATGTGGATATATCTATCTTAGGAGAGAACAGAGATATCTTGCAGATATTATCATTATTATTACTATTACTACTACTAATACTATTTTTGTTGTTGTTGTTGTTGTTATTGTTGTTATTATTATTATTATGAGAGTCAGGATCCAGAAGGATCTTGCCAGGCTAGAAGCACAGATTGAATCTGAAAGACGAAGTTTGAGAGAGAAATACAAAAACTTGCACTTGGTTCAAAAACCCAACTTCATTAAGTATAAGGTATGGTTAAGTAACAGTTTCTGTGAAAAAGGACTTTTTTTTAAAAAAATAAAGCAAGAAGTGGGCCGTAAGCTGCATCTGAGTCAACAGTGGGCTACGCCTGCCGAGAGAAAGTGGGTGCAGTCTTGGGCAGGACTGAGGAGGGGATGTGATTGCTGCTCTGTGCCCCACCACAGTCAGATGAGGTCTGGGGGCATTCTGCTCCGTCCTAGGCAGGCACCGCATCTTGGGTAGGACCCTGATTCTCCAGAGACAGTGTCCAGAGGCTTCCACAGGGGTGTGGAGCAGCCAAGCGTGGGGGGGGGGAGGGGGTTTGGGAGTGCAAGGTGGGACTAGGCATCTTCTGCGGCCCGACGGCACAACCAGAGACAACGAGGCTGGGGGATTCGGAGCCCGCAGACCCCGCCACGGCGCCCGTATGGGGCAGGCGCTTCGTCAGGGTGTCCCGGGAGGCGGGGTGCCGGGTAGGGCTCCGGGCCCGGGACTCGGGATCCCGGCGCTTCGTCCGCAGAACGTGTCTGGGGCTGCCCGCCCGCGCTCGCCCACGTGCCGCGCCGGGGACTCCATCTCCCGGCAGGCCGCGCGGCCGCGCAGGCGCACTGTCGGCCCTCGCCTCGCCGCCCCGCCTTCCCTTCCGGGTCGGGCTCCGCGGCCCTGGCGGCTTCCGGGTCAGGCTGCTCCCAGCGGCGGCGGAGGCGGCGGCGGCGCCTGAGGCGAGAGGCGGGAGTGGAGCGGAGGCCGGGCAAGGCCGCGGACCATGGACGTCTCGGGCCAGGAGAGCGACTGGCGCAGCGCCTCCTTCCGCCAGAAGCTGGTCAGTCAAATGTGAGTAGGGCCGTGGCCCGGTTCGGCGAGGCGCCCCCTCCCTGCGCAGCCCCGGGGCCGTCTGTCATCGGGGCTCGGACCCGGGCCCGGCCTCCCGCTGTTTTGCTGGCGCCGCCGACCCCAGGCCGGGCCCGGACGGCCGAGGCGGGGGCCCGGGCCTCCGTTTGCCCTTCAGGAGGCACCCGGGGAAAGTCTGCCGTGGCCGGGAAGGCCGTCCCGAGGCGGGGAGGCAGGGGGCCGGGCAAAGGCGCGGAGGTGGGACCCGCCGGGGGCCGTCTTGCCCCCCCGAAAGAAAGCCGGGAGCCCCAGGAAGGTTCGAGTCCCGGGCGATGGCCTTCGTGCGCTTGTGGATCCTTGTGCGGGCTGCCGTGACAGGCACTTTGACCTCGCTGCTCCGCCCCCCTGGACATCCCCACCCCACCCGGCTGTGACTCATGCCCATTGTATGCGGCCCGGCCCGGCCTGGGGGCCCCGGGGCTCCGGGGGAGCGCGGTTCCCACGCGGGTGCCCTTTGAGCGGGGGAGGCTCTGCCCGAGCCGCGGCCGTGGGGTTCCGGGGAGAGGTACGAGGTCCTGTGAGAGCCCCCGCCCCCGCCGGCTGTGCCTCCCGGGGGCTGCCGCTCCCCTCCAGACTCCTCCGGGGATCCCCGCAGCCTGGGGCCGGCTCCGGGTCGGAGGTGGGAACTTGGTGGGCCTGGGTTCGAATCCTGGCTCTTCCCCCCAAGCAGGGCTAGGATAACCTCCCCCTCTAACATGGGGGGAGGGGGAGCTCGGCACCGCACTCTGCCCCCGTGCTTTTAAAAAGTAAGATTTGTTGAGGTTTTGATTTTAAACCGGTCACTTCCTGGTGTTCTCCCCACCTTTCCAACAAACAGTTCGGCAGAATCAGTTGAAAACAGGAGCCTGTCCCGTGGAAGGAGCCCGGCGCCGTAGTCCGGGCACCCGGGTTCAGATCCCCTCCGGCCTCTGGCCACAGGCAGAGCTGCCCGGCTCCTGCGGTGACCGCTGACGCCTTCGGGGTCGCGACGGCTCTTGGGCTGTCATGCGTGCGCCTGGGAGCCAGCTGCCGCCGCCTTGCTTGGCAGGCTTCTCTGCACCTCTCTAGCTGCTGCTTCCTCCCCCTCTGTGCCTTGTCACCAGGATCTGTAGCTGGCCTCTTCCTGAGAGCCAGCCTCACCTAGATTTGCTGGCCTTCCTGAGTGAAGGAAAGTCAGTCTTCGGGAAGCATTCACTGGGGAAACAGATGTGGAAATAGCACAGTCCTTCCCTCAAGGAGCTTAAAATCCAGCCCCTCAAAGGAAGCCGGAAAGCAGGGCTGCAAAGCCAGAAGGGAAGAAGGTACCGGGCCAGGGAGCCAGGTGAGGAATGAGGAGCTAACCCTCCTTAAATGGAGTAGCCGACTCCACCCTCCAGTCAGAGGAACTGAGGGCGGGGAGAGTAATAGTAATAATAATAACAGTAGCCAGCAGGTATATAGTGCCTTTTATGTGCCATGCACCGGGCTAAGCCATTGATGATGATCTCACTTCATCCTCATGACAACCCTGGGAGGGAGGGGCTGTTATTATCCTCATTTTACACATGAGGAAACTGAGGCAAATAGACAGTGATGAGGTAAAGTCCCACGGAGGATGGGGTCTTGCAGGATGAGGTTTTCCCTATAATGAGCTTCTGGGGTAGGGGGAAGAGTCAGAGAAATCCCAGAGTAGTGTAGCCCGGTGGGAGATGAGGAGGAAAGATTCTTGCGGTCCAGTTCCCTGTGCCTGTCTCGGCCTTGGCAACCCAGAACGTACAGAGAGGTGCCTGCCCCTGGGGCTAAGCAGCTAGTAAGTAGGTGGCTGAACCCAGGTCTGCCTGACCACAAGTGCAGGTGAGGGGCTTTGCCATTGCAGCTGCTTCCACGGCTTCCACAATTCCCCTCCTTTGCCACAAATCTTCCAGTGACTCAGCTCCACTTACTGAATCAAGTCCACACTCCGGCATGCAATTCAGCAAGCCTTATGAAGTGCCGACTGTATTCTGGCCCCTGGGTTAGGCAATGGGGATGAGTGACAGAGAGGAGCCGCCTCTGCTCCAGGAAGCTTCCTTCCCTGCTCTGCTGCTGAATGGCTCGCTCGTGCTCAGACAAAGAAGACATTGAAAGACATGATCCTTCATCCAGAGGAGGAAGAGAACGCACCAGTTTTCCGCCTTTGTGTGGCGCCATCTCGCAATGGCAGCAGGAATGAAACCTTCTGTGATATGGCAAGGACGGGCACTTGCTTTTCCCTGTCTCTGGAGCTCACTGCCAGGCCTCCTTCATCTGCTTAATGATGGAGCTGGACTGGAGAGCTTCTGTGGGCCCACCCCATCCTGGATCTAAGACCCTGTGATCCTTTTCATGTACCTTCAGCACCTAGCCCAGTGTCTGGCCAGGAAGAACATTTATCCAAAGTTTGTCTGCTGTTTCTTGACAGGCCCTTTTGTGTCTTCATGCTCTCTCTTTCTCTCCTTGTCCTTTTATCTGGAATGGACTCCCCTCCTGCCACTGCCTAGAAACGCTTCTCTTCTGCCAAGGGCCACCTGAACCCTGACCTCCATGACTCTTCCTCCTCAGATGGAAATTGGTTCTTCCTGCCTCCTTTGTGCGGATTTCCAGAGTTATAAGTTATAATGACAGCCAGCATGTATGTGGTCCTTTAAGGTTTGCTTTGCCAAGCAAGGTTGTAGAGGGCAGTAATTGTGGTGTATTTCATTTTGAGATCCCCAACCAATCAATCATTCCTAAATTTATTAAGCACCTGCTATGTGCTAAGAGCTGGGGATACAAAAAGGTAAAAGACAGTGCCTGTGCCCAAGGAGCTTACAGTCTAACGGGGGAGAGACGACATGCAAATCAATATATACAAAGTGGGCTATAGACAGGCTAAATAGGAAATAATTACCCCGAGGGAAGACACTGAAATTGAGAAGGGTGAGGAAGGCTTTCTGTGGAAGGTGGAATTTTAGTTGGGACTTAAAGGAAGCCAGGAGGTGAGGAGGTAAGCAAAGCAGGGAGAGCAGTTTGGGCATGGGAGAGAGCCAGAGATGGGCAGAGCTGAGAGATGAAATGGCTTGTTTGTGGTACAGCCAGAGGGCCAGCGTCACTAGGTCAAAGAGTACATGTTAGGAGTAAGGTGTAAGACCGGAAAAGGTAGCCAGGGGCTAGTTCATGAAGGGCTTTGAAGGCCAAACAAGATCATTTAGTGTTTACTCCTAGAGGCAATAGAGAGCCACTGGAGTTTGAGTATCAAGGTGACTGGATCAGACTTGTGTATTAGGGAAATCACTTTAGTGGCTGAATGGAGGATAGATTGGCCTGGGGAGAGACTCCAGGCAGACCAGACGAGCAGCTATTGCAGAAATCAAGGCCCAAGGTGATGAAGATCTAGGCTATTGTGACAGCAGGGTCAGAGGAGAGAAGGGGGTGCATTCCAGAGATGCTGCAAAGGTGAAATTGGCTGGCCTTGCCAACAGCTTGGATATGGGGAGGTGAGAGATAGTGAGGAGTCCAGGATGACTCCTGGGGTTGTGAGCCTGGGGAACTGGGGGCATCATGTTGCCCTCTACAGGGAATGTGGGTTTAGGGAGAAAGATAAGGAGTTCTGTTTTAGATGGATAGAGTTGAAGATGTCTATTGGACATCCAGTCTGAGGTATCTGAAAGACAGTTGGAGATGCAAGGCTGGAGGTCAGCAGAGAGATTGGCCTGAGTATAGGAGATACTTATTAAGTCTTCTAAAAATTGAATTATTTTGAGAACAGAGCATATGTCGTGGGGTCATAACCTAAGTCTGAGTTGTTGGGTTATTGTTTTAGACATTTTAATTCAAGTGTTACCACATTAGGGAGGTTTGTGTATTTTCTCTCAATTTTTAATATAGAAAATATAGAAGTAATCTGGAGAAGTCAGCAGTTAATTGATTCCCAACCCTTTTGTTTGTTTCCATGTGATTCTCCTACAACACCCCTAATTAACAGTCCAGCATGGGAGTCACATGAAGAATTTAAAAATCATGCAAGACCCTGGGGTGTTTGCTGCTAACAGTTAGCTGTGGCCTTTTGAATAGGTCACATAGTTTCTTTGAGTGACTAGTGATTCTAAGGTCCTCTTTTGCTCAAAACTTGTGAGATGCTGTGGTTTTGACTGAGTGGTGGAGAGCAGATTGTAGCGGGGTTCTCCCCCCCCCCCCAAGGCATGCTGTGCTTGGAGGACAGGATTAAAGGCCCTGGGAGCAGTTGAATTTTAAATGATTTTTGGTGGTGGTGATATCTTTCTTTTTTAATCATCTTTGTTTCCAGATCTATTTCTTCTTCTTTACCCAGCAAGCCGTCTCTTGTTACAAAAAAAAAGTGAAAAAGAGTAAGAAAAAGCAGTACATCTCCTGAGTTAGCACAGCGTAGGCACTGTTCCACATCCAGAAGAACCTTGCCATGTCAGTGAAGGTACTGTTGCCTCTTAAAGGGGAAGGCAGATTCCTGGAGGATAGCTGGAAGGTGGCTTGTGGGAGATGCTGAGACGCTAAAGCAAGAAAGCAAGGCAGAGCTTAGACTGCGGCCTAGTCTTAGGGAGTATGCTGCTCCATCGCTCTGTGATCGTTATTTATGTCCCTTTTCTTTGCTGAGCTCTGGGCAAGGTGTTATGGGGAGAAATAAAGGGAAATCAGTCTTCACCCTTACCCCTTCTCACTGATCTTATAGGTGTAGGGAAGCCAAAGGGGGCGCCCAGGCAGAATGCAGAATGGGCAGCAGAGGTCTGGGGGGGAGGAGAGAGGAATCCAGAGGCTCTGCTGAGGATTTGGCAGCTCTTCCTTTAAATCTCACTTGGAAGAGTGGGTGGGCAGGATTCAGAGAGGTGGGAGCGATCAGGCCTTCTCAGCAGGGAAAAACAGCCTCATGAGAGGCATAGGCAAGTGAAATCAGGGGCTCGGTAGGGTCCAGTGTGGAGCAAAGGGCACTGCATAGTGTTTCCCCTGAGTCATCA